TCCCATCCTTTCTCGGCTGAAGTTTATTGCATTATTTACTACAGACACACTGCTTCAAGACAATATTGAAAGTGTGGTTTTATCTGGATTTCCTTCACGACCCTCCCAGTTGTGATCCTGCTAAAAATCATTCAACTAGACAGAGAATGAAGAAGAAAAGACTTTGTAAAAAGGAGCATCTTTCTCAGAGGTTTTGGTTACTGGGTATGCATTTACTCCCTTCTCTTTTAGATCCAGTTGGGCATTATTGTTTCTCCAGGTGCTCAGCTCATTAAATTTGCATTTAGAGTTTGTGATGATATTATGTGTGTGTGTGTATAAAACTAGATTAATAAAGACAAGGGATAGGATGGATTGATTTTTCTGCTACAGAAAAACAAAAACATTTGTTTTTCTGTAGCAGAAGACAAATCAGAATTCTTTTCATTCTATGTACAGAAGCTGACCCAACTGACAGATGAACCTAGGGCCCTTTCACACTGCACAATCATAGTGCTACCTTTCCACTTTGACTTCCATAGCTGCATCCTATGAAATGCTGCATTTAGTAGTTTGTTGAGGCACTAGAGTGCTATGGTTGAGGATTCTAAACATCCCTTCTTAAATTGCAAATCCCAGGATTCGTTAGGTTGGAACCATGGCAGCTAAAATATAATCATACTGCTATAACTGTTTAATGTGAACAGACTCCTCCTGTCAACATAGGCAGCAGGGCAGAGTTTTCTGCCATGTCTGGGGGCACCAGCCTTGTTTGGGATGTGGATGCAGGACTTTATGTGGCTTGCACAACTCTATCTTCCAATAAAGAGCAATAGCCAGGAGGCACCCCAGAAATACCTGGGTGGGGAAGGTGCCCTTTCTCTCCTCCAGCATCTGTTGTTGAAGTTACTACCTCACTTCACCTCATGGTAAGACTGACCTGAATAGAAATGTACATCATTTAATCTGAACATTGAGTAGAAATGTACATCATATAAGCTGAATCTGAAGACAGCACCATTTTTCAGTTTTAGCAGATTACATTTAGCTTAGGTTTTAGCTGTCCTTTTCCAGTGAAATCATACCAAAAATTAGTATTCCATCAAAATAATTGCTAAGAGGTAATTTGCAATAAAAGAGTGAGTGCTCTGTTTGCTCCATTGTTCTGTTTGATTGACAACCATTGTGATTTGGGAGCTGCTGACCAAGCATTTGCTTGTCCAAGATTCAGTGGTGCATGGGCCTCCTATGTAAACTTCAGTCATTGAATTCTTGCAATGGATTAATCTAACTAATTCCATCCTATTTCAATCCCTTATAAAATCAGGCAAAGAAAAAGGTAGGAGTGAATTGATGAGTGCTTACATGCAATTCCTGGTGTAAAACACAACATTTGTCAGGAATGAGAGTACAATGCTTCAATTCACAGAGCAAGCCTCTTTTATTTTTAAGCTGTGTAGCTGCAATGCATTCAAAGGATGAAATTTACCTTGTAACTGTTTTGAAACTATAGTAATTCTCTCCTCACAGTGGCAAGTTGTGTTGTCAACTCAAACTCACCAGTAGAAGGGGGACTCATTCTGCTTCAAGTGGAACAAAGCACATCTTTTAGAAAGAAGTGAAAGCATTTTTATGCATGGCTTCTTTTGAAGCTATTTCTGTTGTATTGGTGATTTACATAAAATCTTCTGTTGTATAAGTAGTTTACAGCATCTATGTTTTGGCATGCTTGTTTTGAGGATACTTGTTTTTACCTAAAGGCAGCTCAGGTATTTCGTTGTTTTTTTTTTAAAGAAAGTAAATGAAACAGATAATAATGGCTGGCATTCTGTAATGCAGTTATGGATTTGTAACCTAGAGTTAGGGATCCATGACTGCTAGGCAAATAGATCTTGTAGTACCTTTGAGACTAACTGAAGGGTAGAACAGACAGACATGAAAGAGCTGCATGAGTCCATTCCAGCCAAAAGTGGGTTGGAACCCCACTGTCTGCATGGCCTGCTCCCAAGGTGGGCCACATACACAGGGACTGACTGGTGCCACCAGGAGTTGGACTATCACAGATCCTTTTTTCCAGACCTAAGGACCAGAGCACGGCTTTGGCACCAAGTCCAGACACTTTGGAGACGTGTGTCATTTAATCTGTATGCCTGCAAAGTGGCTGGAAGCCACTTCATTTGGCCCATGTGTTTGGGTCCTGTGTAAAAGAAATTGTAGCATAAACTTCCTTAACCTTTCTGGTTCCCATCCTGCAAACACCATATTCCAAAACCCCTTCTATCTTTCATATAGACATCCACCTACCCTGAAGGCAACATCTTTCCTCTTGCCTTTGTCCCTCAATGACCAGAATTAAAACTGAACTTTTCACCTCATTACCATACCCACAAGTTTTGCATTTTCATGGCTATTCATACAGTCTAATTATAAAAGTTCTTCCTGGCTATCAGTTCACTCCATGCA